CGTGCTGCCGTCATTCTCCATCTATGATATCACACGCTCTCGGTTTCCGAAGATCACCTTCAATTAAACGAATCAGAGCTGTAGCTACAACTAACTCCTATTGTTGTCACACATTTACAAAATTTTATAAGGTTAGACCAAAAGTTGCTGTTATAATATCAATAACTGCAAACACAGTAGCAAATATTGCACCTTTATTTTTAAACAGCCGTTTTAACCTTTCACCTAATCTTTTGACTCGTGGTAACTGCCGACTCTAGAATATATTTCATTTCAGCAGCGTTATTTCTTTGACACCAAGTTTTTTCTTCTTTTTCCGAACGTATGTTATGTGACAATATTAATTTGACCCTTGTAATAAATTATAATATCTATATGGACAAAATGATGGTAGTACAATGACAAATCCTTAAGTTCAAATACAGTACATTTTTATTAGATTATATTGTGTCTGATCTAGCACTCACACATCTGTAATTTCGTTTTGAATAGATCAAATACTCTTATATTCAGTTCCTCAACTGTTTGTGATATGTTACAAATCACAAATTTTATAAATTCTCGTCGGAAGTAAGTGTTTGTTAAATTTATCCACCACATCATCGTATTCATTTTCTTTATAAGAGAATTTTGAGACTCTTGACCCTAAAAGATTTCCAACATTTGTACGCTATATAAATAGGTGGGGGGTCTTCTCAAAAGTACCTTTTAATAAATATAAATTATGTTTTATAGAATCTGAAAAAGATATTAACGTGAATACTGTCAAAAAAGACGGAAACACACTGACAGAAATTAAGCATTTCATACTACATAGAAAAAAGCATTGAAAGAAGCTAAAAACATTTAAGTGATATGAAGCGAGATAAACTTTATTTTTAAAATAAACAATTGGTAACACTTGAAAGACAAGCTAATATATCAAAATCTTGTCAGATGTATAAATACTTGGAATAATATTTTAGCAGCGAATTTCTCCAAATTCGTAACTTAAATGAATTACAAATAGAGCCTCAATTGACTTAAACCGCAAACTCAATTAGATAATTTCATGCTTTGTTATCTTTTAGGCTTGAATTACCATTTTTCTTTTGATACGTATGCTTAACATGCAATGTTTGTTTGCGTTTCTTAATATATATATATATATATATATATATATATATATATATATATATATATATATATATATATATATATATATATATATATATATATAATGATGTGATTATGATTTTTAACGTAGATTTAATAATTTTTCAGTGACAGAATTAATTCAGTTTCGTTATAGCCTTTAAGTCGTGACCTTTGAGTTCAACGATGAACGACGTCATCACCTATCTTATCCGGATATCGAATCTTCTGTTCGTCCCTGAACTGCCAACCGTTGTCTAGTCGTCTGGACATGGACTCTTGCCAGTCAAAACTTGAACGATTTTACGAGCGTTTCTAGACCTAGACTTCTTGCTTAGAATTTGCTCTGGTACTTGGAATTTGTACAGGTGACGCTCACCAGTTATTATGTACTTTTGAGAGAGTGATGTATGTAAGGTGAAGTTGTTTGCATTTTAAACATGCACAGTGGAGAGAATGTTGGCATACCTATATACTACTTTCATGTAATGTGGATGAAATTTCTTTGGATATTGTACTTTTGGAAATTTAAAATGAGCTTAGGACACTTCGAACTAAAATGACTGATCCCTTGTGCTCCAAAAATCAACCTAAATTTGTCTAAAGTACACTATTCTTGGCAGCTATTAAAATATGGAAAATGAATTTTGCCAAACTAGATAATACCAGCTTCTAAAAAAGCAATGACTGAATTACCAAATACATAAAATGTCAAAAAAGTTATCGGCTCTTTTTTTACAATTTACCTCTGAAGTTCGAGAAGTGAAAATGAGCAAGTAGAGCTAGCACTTTTTTGAAAGATGCACATCTGCAGTAAGGTCAAGCTGTATACTCTCTAACCCATATTACACCCATCAATCATACATCAAAATAAAGGGAATTAAAGGTTCTTTGAACAATACCTAAGATATACAAAGTCTATTTTAAAACACCAGTATAACTAGTGAGGAAACCCGGGGAAACTCATTTTCTTTAAAATTGTAACCCTATGCTAAATACGAAACTGTAGAGCGCCACCACAGCAATTTCCAGGAAATTTCAGGAAGCTGTTTCCTTAAATAAATAAAATGTTTCGCAATAGACAATATGCCACTTTGCCAAGTATATTTCTATATTATTACATTAACTCGATTCAGAAAAAAAGTGCATAAATTATGTCATTTTCACTCGTCCACTAATTTCTAGGTTTACAGCGACGGTCATTACATGTATCCTGACCTTAATTCTGGTCATGCTAGCGGGGAACATTAAATTCCACTTCATGGCTAGCACGTATGTGCCCGTATTTAGCACCCCCTTGACTTCTTATATTAAACTATTTAGTAGTGTTAAATTACATACAGCTAAGCCCCCTCAAATCTAACTATTCTAAAATAGTTTAGGTGATCAATTAAATGTTACGAACTAGTATATGAATATATACTCAATAGATCAATTAAATTTTAGGAACTAGTATATGAATATACACTTAATACATGGCATACTAGACATAGATTTTATTCTTCATTTATTAGGCTTATTTCTTGAAAATTCCTAGGCACTCCTATGTATCGGATATTCAATTACATACAATCTTGACAATTCTCTCAATGAACATTCAATTACATGCAATCTTGTTAATTCTCACAATGAATTGATAACTAGAAAATCAAAGAATAAAATGTTGTGACTAACATTTCACTAAAACCATGCAAAATGAAATATTGCATACATACATACATCATAACATCAATACATTTGCAAATAAATCAACAAATGAAATAGCATATTAAAATCTGGAAACTGAGATTGCGTACCTTTTGTCGTTTCTTATTCGTTTTCCATAAACCTCCAACGTATAGTCTGTCTCCTATCTGAGACGACTAATTGGCCCCTTACTCAATAACGTGCTTTCTACGTCCCGGAGTTACTCTTATTTTCCTCAAGCAAGATTCTAGACTGAAGCAAATTTTCCAAAGTAAATCCCTACTTCCTTACAAGAGTTACGCCCTTAAGTTTCCATTAACCAATCAGAATCGACTGTTTCCTATTTCTTCTACTTAGAATTTTTGATTGACGAAACAGCTAATCATGCCGCAATTAACATTCCTTTGAACAATCAATTATTGACGTGCTTCCCCTTTTAACCGGTTGATTTTGGAAGAATGTTATGCCAACGCACTTGTACCCTAACAGGTGACTTGATCAAGTTTCGTCGCGTGGAACGAATTTCCTTTGAAGTTCAGAGATGAAATGAAACAAATCATATAACTGTCTCTAGCCCTTTCTACTTTACTTAAGTTAAATTTGGTACAATTCATTTAATCAATACTTCTAAGAGTTTTCAAAATTCGACACATCACATTAGCTTAAAACCATAGATTAGTAAATACAACACCAGGCGCTTGTCTGATAACTTTTAACTACGTTATCTTAAACATGCTTGCAAAGCGACCAAGTTCTAGAAAACAAGGACAAATCACATTAAAAAGAATGTAACAGATCTGTAAGCAAATAAAACATTACAGGAAACAGGTTAAGACCGGACTTAATTACATTTTATAGTAAAACTCTGAATGCATTGCATACTGAAAAGTTGTTAAAGAGACATATTAAACGATAATATAAAGGTTGATAAATAATGAAGGTAAGGTAATAATAGCCTGAAAGTAACATGAAAGTAACCTATAAACAACTTAAAAACAGATGTAAGGTAACATAAATATGACTTAAGTAACAATCAAGGACAATTTTAGTTTCGTCGAAAAATAAATGGAAAGTAGTAATAGGAACGCTTTTTATTTTAAATATAATTTCTTGCCAAGAATATCACAAATGTTTCAACTTATAAAATCCTCCCCATTCTATGCATAATTAATTAACGAGCATACATGCACAAGTTACATTACGATGACAAACATACATATCATGAAATGAGAGGATAACATAGCAATCAAGCGGTGGGACTGTTTGGTGTGATACGGTACGTAAAATATCTTGCTATACTTCTAATGGGGTAAAGCAATCATATATTTATGAATCATTTATGTTAAAAACAATTGCATGCATTTCCCGCTGGTAGCAAAAATATTTGTGGGAGGGGGGTCAGCTGTGTAAAGTTTGTTGTCAAGTAACATCGCACATGATAACAGATCCAAGTGAAGTTGAACGTGGCTAGCAACTTGGATGGACAATCTGAAGATTTTTAAAACTTCTATAGCTCGTTTAGGAGAGACAAGTCATTGATTTCGTTCAATATAGTATATTTTGTAGTCGACTCTTACAATATTAGTGGTTAGAGGTCGTGGGTTCGATTCCCGGCTGAGTCATACATATCATGCAATGAGAATATAACATGGCAATCAAGCGGTGGAAACTGGTACTAACAGATACTTCGTTTGGCGCTCAGCATTAAAAGGTTAGTGTTAGAACTTGTCAGCCTGGTGTCAATAATATTTGACTGGGTGGGACATAATCTTACATGTCTGTGCATTGATGTCCCAGTGCTAGTCATCACTATTAACTGCCACACTGCAAACATCGTAGTGATATGACTGAAAAATTGTTAAAGCTACGTTAAAAATCCAAATCACACACACACACACACACACAATATTTGACGTGATAATAAAACAAAGCAACAGTCTATTCATCTATATTAAAAACGCTGCTGAAATCGACGAATTCAATAATAGCCGATAGATTTGATAATGTTGAAATTAACACGAAAAAAGGTGTGTGTGTGTGTGTGTGTGTGTGTGTGTGTGTGTGTGTGTGTGTGTAAGATTTAGATTTTTAACACCAGGCCGACCAGTCCTAACACTAACTTCTTAATGCTAAGCGCCAAGCGAAGCAGCTGTTAGTACCATTTTTTAAAGTTTTTAGTATGACTCGGCTGGGGTTCGAACCCGCGACCTCCCGCATTTGAGGTGGGCTCTCTAACCATTAGGCCAACGGAGCGGTGCATGAAAAAAGTCAGAGAGGGAATGATTAATGACGATAATGAGGAAAGCATTTAATATTTAATGCCAGACACATAATTCTAAAAATAAAACAAATCTAAATTACTATGACTTAATAGCCATATATATATATATATATATATATATATATATATATATATATATATATATATATATATATATATATATATATATATATATATATATATATATATATATATATGAGTAGTTAAACAATATTAAGTTAAATTATTTGATGAGCTCCTACCCTATCAGAATTGCTTCCTAAATAGGTAATATTGTCATGAATATCTATATTTTGTGATTCACTTTTGTAAATGATTGTAGTTTATGTTTTAAGACAATAAGACAATGGTTATTTGAAAACAAGATGATTACACGACTAAATTTTGTCCATGATTTTACATTGTAAATAACAAGTTGGCATAACATTTTAGTTTTGAACATTTCAGAAACAGACTTGTTTACAATTTAATTTGAATTTTCCATTGAAACGTGTCACATCTAGGCCAAGTGAAAATGTATCTAAATAGGGACTTGATAAGCAAATAATTTATTCATATTTAAAATTTGTCTGTGCGGCCCATTTGTTATCCGTTTACAGATGGGTTTGGATACAATTCTAGAAAAAATATTTATTTAAATTATTAATTGTACTTCAAAAGTGCTCTTTGAATTGGAAATACACTGTTTTGGGACTATTGCTGTCAAAAACAATCTGTATTGCATCATTGTGGTACACCAGGACAGTCAAGACTATTGTGATTTATTAGGAACATTCTCTATTTTTTTTATTTGTAATAGGACATTTAAGATTATCTGGGATTTAAATTACAATAATGTATCTCTAAATTTTCATTTGTATTGTAGCAAAATAAATAACTTTCTGATTTTGCTTACAGTGATGGTTTCACTTTATGTTACTTACTTTAAAACTTAGAGTTGTAACAAATATAAAAAGAGTTGACACGATCCAGCTTCGCAGGGATCGGCAACCTATTTTACATTTTACATGAACGAAACCGAGCCACCAATAAGATTATAACATTGTTAAACTCGAGATTTTTGGCTGCCCTACGCGTGCCACACAAACCCTCGACGGCACTCGTGCGGTAAGTTGCCAGCCACTGAGCTACGGTATTATAAATAATACTGAAGAAGGTGTACAATAATGAATTACGAGCCCCCAGTCAACAAATCCAACACCGTAAATGCATATGACAGAACAACTCAAGATTCAATATATGCAAATTTTATTTTTAAAAATTAAAGAATATAGATTCAAAGTAAATAGATTCAACATAAAGTCTATGTTCAACACGCAAAGTAATCGACCTGGTTAATCGAATTCCCCTTCAACGAGTTAGTTCAGCATTCGAAATTACAGGATCTATTTGTGATAGATTCATTATTATTTGTGTTGTTTCTTTGACTGTGATTCAATCGTTCTCATCCATCCTCCAATCACTTCCTCCTTTCGCTTTCCATATATCCCTGCTCTTTTGCCGATTCGACCATGTATCCTAGAAGCTTACTTTCGAAGGTCTTAAATTCCAAATTCTTATTCCCTTTTACGATACATATATAGTCAGAACGAATCTCGGAGTGGCCTCCTATGGTCATAAACAATGTAACAGAAAGAAGCAAAATCAACTAATTCTATAAAACTTAACTAATAGTTTAAGTATTAAAGATATAAATGAAAAAAAGACAACAAAAACCAAAAAACAAAACCGAAACGAACTTACGGTGTTATGAATGAATCCTAAAGAAATCTGAAAAAGTTACGATCAGACCAAAAGAATTAAAGCTTCCATCTAAACGTCAGAAACGGAAATGTACTGGTCCGCCAAGAATCATTAGGTTGTAAAAATTGCGTCGTCCAAAACTCCTTTAAATATTTTACAACATTACCAGAATAATAATATAGTCCTGCAATACGAACTTTATATTTCCACGGAGCAGTCCAAATAAACATTTTTCCTCTCGAATAATATCTAAATACAACCTAAAACAAGTCTGCAGACTTACAACAGGAAAACAAGAAAATACAAATTACAAGAATTAGATAAAATCATATACCAGGAGCTATAAAAATATATAGGTATATATAAAAGAGACCTTCATTTGGAATTCACTTCATAATGTTTCAGTCATATCGCTACGACGTCTTCAAAATTAGTTTATTGTTATGTCCAGCACAGGAGTATCATTCCGAAGACATGTAGACTGATGTCCTATCCAATCACATTATCCTGAAACCAGGCCGACCAGTCATGACACTAACCTCTTAATGCCGAGCGCCTAGCTAGGCATCGGTTAGTACCATTTTTATCCGTCTTTGATTTGACTAGGCTGGGGTTCGAACCCACGACCTCCGGCATCCGAGGCGGACACTCTAATCACTAGGCCACCGGAGCGATCTGCCACAGTATTCTTTTCATGAGTACTTATCAAAAGAAAGAACAATAACTGTTTATTTTATATTTGAAGACAAGAAACTGAATGTAACCTTTTGTTTGTTTCTTTCTTTCTTTCTTCAATATTACGTTATCTGTTGTTGCAACGGGACAAACATCGGTTACTAGTTAAGGACATGTGTATTCTCCATCGCGTTTTGGCGAATACAAGCTATGTTGTGGGGATTCCTTAGACTAGTATATAAGTAAAATCAGGTTTATAGTCATTTGTTAAAATCTTTAACTTTCGATCTTCTTTTGATGTTACATTTTACATATTGCATTAATTCAATTCATTTGTATTCATCAAGTAATTTGTATCTAGTAAATGTGAACTGAGCAACTAAATTAAAAAATATTTACGCTCTTCTAGCTGTAAAAATAAGATACTATAAAATAAATGGGTCAAAGATAATATACACAATAAAAAACTTATTTTTTAAAATCTAGATTTGATATAAAAATGTTCATAATGTTATAGACTTCGATTTTAAAAGTAGACACAGTCAAAATTTACTATCAAAATTTACGTTAGAACTAATAACGAATTATTAAAAATAAAATACATAAAAAATATAAAATTCAGCTAAACTTTTTTCAATAATTTTTTCTCGACATAGAGATCAATTCTACATGCATATAATAATATATTTTGGTACATTATTTAAACTATATGACATGCAAAGTGCAGATAAAATGAAACAAGGTAATAAAGAAGATAGAAACTAGTGTTTAGAAAAAATAGTTTGTCACCTATGTTACGAATAAGCATCATTAACTTTATAATTAGATGTATAGTGGAGTGATTCAAAAGCAACTGTGATTAAAAGATTCACATTTCGTATTTAATTAACCCATTTTGCGTTGTTGTTGTTGTTTTGGATTTACTGCCATTTCCCAGCACAGGATCGGCATACATGAGAGCCACATCGATAGAGTGGTTGTAGAATTTAATAGAATTTGTTACCTCTCTAAGCTATTTAGTAATTCGAAGATTTGTTATATTTAAATATCTCATTCCGCGATGCAAAATCATGTCCATGATGTCGTTATAAAGTTTTGACGTAAGCACAAAAGGTAGTTGCAAGCATTACGTCACAACTGCATCACATGACGGTCATAGTAACTACATTTCGTCAGCATTATACATAAGCGCTAGAAGCAAGATATTTTTCGTTTGAAAGTGTTTTGCCTTTGACACCATGAGTAAGGAAGAATCGCACAGGCCTACGAGACGCTCGGAAAGGATGATACAGTTGTAGATATTGAATATCTCGCTGAACAAGAACATGATTCTTTATGTCGAAATATATCATCATCAACACGTGTGCGTGTGTCCCCTCGTGCGCGCGCGTGTGTGTAGTAGATTTTTAACACGGCTTTATCGATGTTAGCTAAATCGCTAAGATGTCGGTAGTATGGGAGTATTTAGTGATAACTAGCCACATTATCCTGACAACAGGACCAGTCATACGACTAACCTCTTAATCACTGGCGCCAAGCGAGGCAGCTTCTAGTACCACTTTTGTCACTTTGGTATGACTCGGTTGGGGGTTCGAACCCGCGACTTCACGCATCCGAGGATAGTATTAGTACATGTATCATGATTGTAGACAAGTATCCCATTTTCCGCAGTCCATATCAAATAATAGTGCACATCTTTAACGTCTGGTCATAATATGTGTAATAATAATTTGTGATTTATTTTCAAGTAACAAAAATAATATATTTTCTAACATTTTTAAAGAAATTATAATGTAATAAATGTTAAAAGTCTGTTTCTCTCAATTAAGAAAAGGTTGAAACGTTTCAGTAAAGAACAGATGCGAAAGTTTTGATCATATATTTGTTAAAGTTTCCTAGAGATTGTATTCCTTACCTCTGTTTTGCTTGCTAGAGTCTGGTACACAGTTTATAATTTTGTATCATGCATGATTTTTTCTGTAACTCTACTCCATTCACACGAACCTTCTTATATTTCAGGTATGAAAGAAAGAAGAGGAAGCTGGAAGCCTTTTCTTCTAGAGAAAGTAATGTAACCTGCCGGAAGAGGATGAGTTACAACCACCAGAGTGAGCTGAAAAGCAAATCGGTGATGAAAATGTATCGACAAGAGATATACGGTGGAGCAAAACCGAATGTAAATCACAGCTATGGAACCAGACTTCAGGCAAAAAGAAAGCGTGAGTTTGAATTTTCTCACGAGGAAAATTACGGATTCGGGAAGAAAAGAAAGATTTCGGAGTTAGCCACTGAGGAAAATGGTAGACTGAAGACGAAAAAAAACTGCGTGGAAACCTCAGATAAAGATGTCGGATATATGAATGGACAAGAAACAGAAGCTGATGTTAATGAAAGAAAGAGGAAAAGGAAATCATGTGATTTCCTTAACAAAGCTGATGTTCGAATAAAAGAAAAATGGAATTGCAAGGAAAGTAATCAGGCTGGTAAGGTTAAGAGTCCTCATACAAGGAACAGCACAAAAGAAGAACTTCCTTTAATTGATAAAAATTACATG